CCCCCCCCCCCCGCGCCCCCGCCCTCTACGGTGGCTCCTAACGCATTCCCGGTGACAGACGCGGGGAAACTGCGGGTTCATCCGACGAACGTCCTTATTGAGCACCCAGCAGGTGCAGGTGCCGAGCAGCCGAGGGTGGGGGAGAACAGAAAACGAGCGTGGGAGCAAACGTGCTCTCACAAGAAGAGTCGGTTTTGAGATGTGGGGCAGACTGCAGAGCAGTCCGCCTGGCCTGGGGACGGGAACTTTTGGACCGCAAGGCTTGTCTCTAACTGCGGCTTTGATGAGAGTGGGGCCTATGGAGAAGGCGCAGGGAGGTGAGAGAGAAGCGGGGACTGCTTCCGTTGCCCAGCTCCCCTAGGGCGAGCTCTCCCTTCAACATTTAGCCAAAACAGATGGCGGGCCCATTATCTCCAGTACTTCCTGGGTGCGGGGCGCTGCCCTCGGCCCTGAGGCTGCGGCCAAGGAGGCTCCTTGGGAAGCAGACTGTGGGGGCTGGGGGGCGGACGTGGGACCCTGCTGGTGTGGGGTCAGCGGAAGGGGATGTCATGAGCCAGGGCCGAAGCACCAGTGCACTCCTCCCTTTCAGCTACCTCTTTTTCTCCCCAAGGCAAGCCATAGAAACTAGACTTTCTCTTCCCAAAAGTGAATCGTGGAAACGAGGACTGTAATTTTCCCCCGGCTTTTTGCTTTGGATCTGGCCATAGAGAAATTCTCTGACCCACCTTATCTGGTATTAGATTACAAGACCTCATTCCACAGGGTCCTGCCCATGCCCTGGAGTAGGGAATCCTGCCCAGAGCGGCCGAGAAGAATCTGAGCAGACAGGCCTCGCTGGCTTCTCCTGGTCTGTGGCTGTTAGTCGGACCCTTTATGTCCAATCACGTTTGTACACGGTTGTCCGTGCTCCAGTCACGTCTGTGCGATGAAGTCTCCATAAAGAGCCCAGCAGGACCGGCCGGAGGGCTTCTGGACAGCTGGCAGGAGAGGCTTGCAGGGAGGACTCAGTCACGCGCAGGGAAGGTGGCACCCAACTGCACTGGAAGGAAGAGCCTGAGCTTGGGGCCCTTCCAGCCCTCACCCTACCTACCTCTCCATCTGGCCGTTCATTGGTATCCGCTGCAGAATTGCTTTCCTACTTGCTGCTGGGAGAACCCGCAGGTATTCGGTCCAGAAGTCTTCTGTGTTGATGGTGAGTGAAAGCAGAAGAGAAACTGAGTCTAAGTCCCCGTTCCACCCGCCCACCCGCCCAATACTGGCAGTCTAAACATAGCCAAACACAGAAAAGCACAGTAAATATATGGTACAAAGGATACAGAACGGTTCTTCTGTCTGGAGCACTTGCCGTGGATGGAGTTTTCCGGGCTGGAAGTCGCTCTGGGTGAGCGAGTGCTAAGCGGATACCACTGCACTACTGCACTTTCTGCACACTCTGCCGGCACGCCACACTCAATCTGTACTTTTTTTTCTTGTTTCCACACATTAGAATTACTTTTTACTTTATAAGCTTTAATTTTTTAAAAGAAAACTTTTTGGCTCTTTTGTATAACACTTAGCTTAAAATGCAAACTCACAGTACAGCTGAGCAAAACATTCTCTTTCTGTATATCCTTGTTCTGTAAGCTTTTATTTTTCCTATTTCTAATTATTTTCACTTTTTACAGACACATGCACATCACACTAGCCTAGGCCTACGCAGGGTCGGGATCATGCGTACACTGTCTTCCACCTCGATGTTTTGTCCTCCTGGAAGGGCCCCGAGGAACAAAGCAGCATGAGATTAAATCAAGCACAAGAGAAATGATGCAAGCAAGTCTCCGTAAACATGATGTGTGTGAGGCCATTGCTGTCCTTACATATTTTACAGTAAACTTTTCTAAAAAACATTTTTTATAAGTAAAAGGAATACTTGGGCCAGCCAGTGGCGTGGTGGTTAAGGAGCTGAATCCCACATGGCTAACTGCACAGTTCAATTTCCAGACCTGGTGGCTTAAAAAACACGCCAGGCACATGTATGTGCATGTCCCAAATCCCACTGGCTGGCCCCTAGTTTATTATCATTGTTATTATTATTTAGGTTTTTACCATAGGATGTGTGCACTCACTGGAGAGAGACAGAGAGAGAGAAAGCAAAACATCATCCCACCAGGGCAGGATGGCCACGCTGAAATCCTTTCTCCTCCATTCTCCTCCCAGGATTTTAGGCACCCAGACACACCCCGCGTGATTTTCAACTGCCAGGTCCAGGACTCAAACTACAGTCGACTATGTGGGAGCCCAGCACCTCAACCACCATGCCACCTGCTGGCCCTTCCTTGCTTTTGGTAATATGTATTCTACATGAACTTTTATGAAAACCCCCTGGATATCGCCTCTTCAAAAACACTTTGAAGCTGGTCAAGAGGAAGAGAGGAATCTAGGCGTGCTGGACAAGGGGGCTGGGGCTAAAGCCCTTGTGTAGGTCAGCACCCCACAGTCCCAGCAAGGCTCCCAGAATAGGCAGAAGCTGGGGGTGTAGGGCCAGGCGACCAGAAAGGGAATTGGCCCCTTCAGGGTCACCTGTTTGAGAAAGAGAGACACAGCAGAAGTCCAGGGAAGAACTGCGAGGTGTTTTGGGATTTCCAGCTTTACAAAGCTTGCCTTAAACCCACACGCTCTGCCTCTTGAGCTATTTATTGCCAGTTTCTAAATTTCCAGATAGCAAACTCCCAACTTTCCAGGGGTGGGTTGGGGGATGGATCAGAGGGGCGGGATGTTAAGCAAAGGTTGGAGTCCAGGGTCAGAGAAGTTTATCTTTATCTGTGTTATTTACACGGCAAAGGTTCTGGTATTAACAGGAAACTACAAAGACCTTAAAAAAGGGCAGGATGCCAAGAATATTTCTTCCTCCTCTCCACTCACAGGCTAGAAACCATCGTAAAACAAGTGGGCTGTTTCTCTGGTGTTCAGTGTTGATATGGGATGAAGCTGGATTTCTGAAACAACACGCCTGTCTGGGTTTGCTTGGGCAGAACTCGGCCGGGGCAGAACTCGGCGGGATGAGAGCTCTGGGCCAGGCCGGCGGCAGAACAGGAGGCTGACCGTGGGCAGAACTCGGTGGGATGCAAGCGCCGGGCCAGGCCGGCTGCTGAACAGGAGGGGGAAGGTGGGCAGAACTCGGCGGGATGCCAGCGCCGGCCGGGCCTGCTGACCATGGGCAGAACTCCGTGCCTCCTTTCCCTCTTTGCTCCCTCTCTTACTTCCTGTTCTTTCCTTCTTCCTTCTTCCCTCCCTCCTCTCTTCACCTTCACCTTTTCCACTTTGTGCCTTTCTCTCTTCTCTTCTCCCCTGAGTCAGTTGTTTGGAGGGCCCATGAGGCAGGCGGGACCACATGAGCTAGGTGGAGCAAGATCAATGGGCAGGTCCTGTGGGCTGGTGGCTAAGGGAGTCAGATGCCACATGGCTGACCGTGGGATGCAAGTTCCCACCCCAGCAACTTGAAAAACATGCTAGGTGCATGTGCATGTGTACCCTAAATCTCGACAAGAGGAAAAATGGAAGAGAAGGCATTGCCCCCAAGACAATGCCCCACTGGGGTTGCTTTCTCCTTCTCTGTCTCTGTCTCTTTCTCTGGTGAGCACATGTGCCCTCTGGCAAATCAAATAAAGAAGAAGGAGGCAGTTCTTCAATGTGAGGAAGACCACAGAGAGGAGGAAGTCAGGGAGCCCCTAGACCCCACAGAGGCACCAGGCTAAGGTGGGAAGGGAAAGGAAGTTTTTATTTTATTTTTTTGAGAGGTTTTTGCTATAGAGTGTGTGTGCTCACTAGAAAGACAGAGAGAGACAGACAGAAAATGAGAAATCAACCCCCAGTGGGTATGACCATGCCGCAATCCCTTCTCCTCCATTCTCCTCTCGGGATCTTGAGCATGCATACACATGTGCCTGGCGGAGTTTAAGCTGCCAGGACCCCCAGGGGGGATGACCATGCCGCAATCCCTTCTCCTCCATTCTCCTCTCGGGATCTTGAGCATGCATACACATGTGCCTGGCGGAGTTTAAGCTGCCAGGTCAAACTGCGGTCGACTACATGGGAGTTCAGCAACACAACCATTATGCCATCTGCTGGTTCAGGGAAAGGAAGTTTTAAAACCCAGCCTGACAGGGGCCTGGCTGTGCATCGTCTACTGGGGCCTGCCCGCGGGGTGACCAGATGGACCCTGGAGTGCCAGGATTTGTTTCCTCACTCAGCCAGGGCCGCTCCCCTTTGATGGCCAAGGAATACAGATGTCACACCAGCAGGCATTCACCCGGGTCTCCACATCCAGTTTACCTGCACTTTAGGGTCTGCCGGAGGTGTGTCAGGAAGGCCTAGGGAGCATGTGACCAGGGCCATGTCTTAGGCCCCTACAGCACCTGCTGGGCCCAGGACGAATCTGTGGGGACAGCACCCGCACTGCTGAGGGGTATGGGGGCAGTCCTGTCCGTTGACACAGGCACGCACTGTCAGGAAGGTGTCTGTGCCCCAGCCTCGTGGTGACTTCCTGGGGACAGGTCAGCAGCTGAGGCTCTGGCCAGCAGAGGCAGACAGGAGTTGACCTGCGGAGTGAGGGCGGTGGAGGACTTCAAAAAGTTCGTGGGAAATGGAATCGACTTGAGTGTACTCGGTGTAAGGGGACTGTGGTGTACCCGTGCCCACTGGGGTGTACTCTCCCTCGCTCTCTGCCTCTGGTACACACAAGTGATTTCTGACAATTAAAAAAAAAAAGAAAGAAAACTAAACCAAGATGGCAAATCTATCTTTTTTTTTTTTCAAAGAATGAGTTACTTCATTTAACTTATTGTTATTATATGTTTAAATTTTGCTATAGGGTTTGTGCCCTCACCAAAGAGGTAGAGAGAGAGGAGGAAAGTGAGAAAGCAAGCCACCAGGACCAAGACTCGAACTGTGGTCAGCCATGTGGGAGTCCAGTGCCCCAACTACCACACCATCTGCTGGCTCTGTAATTACCTAATATGAATGAGCTGAGTACTTTTCTGTAAAATGCAGAGATTGTCAGACTGTATTTTAAAAAGCATATTAAATATTCCCCAAGATAGATAATCTTATATGTGCCATAGAACAAGTGAGGAGCCAGCAGGTGGTGTAGTAGTTGAGGCGCTGGACTCCCACATGTCCGACCACAGTTCAAGTCCTGGACCAGGTGGCTGGAAACACTCTAGGCACATGTGCATGTCTCCCCAAAATCCCAAGAGGAGAAGAGAGGAGAAAGGATTGCAGTGTGGCCATCCTCCATGGGTGGTGATATCTCACTTTCTGTAGCAAAAATCTCATACCCTAAAACAAAAACAAGTCTCAGTGAATTGCAAAGGACTGAAAACATAGAGTACAGTATTCAAGTTATTACATTACTAATCAATCACAAAAGTATCCAATAGGTAATCAATAACAATACGATATGTAGAACTTCTTCAAATGTGGGAACTGAGCAACACACTTCCAAGTAACGTGAACAAATTTAAAAGTTAGGAAATACTTAAAATTGAATAGAAGTGAAAGTAAAGCACCGGAATTTGTGCGATACAGCTGAATCAGTACACAGAACATTTTGTTGTTGTTCAGATGTTTTGCCATAGGCATATGTGCTTACGAGAGAGAGAGAGAGAGAGAGAGAGAGAAAGAGAGCGAGCACGCGAGGGAAGATGAGAAATCACCCCTGGGGGAGCGGGGGGATGTTCCTCGTGCAATCCCTTCTCCTCCATTCTACTGTCAGGATTTGGGGCACACACATGCACCCAGTGTGATGTTCAAGCCACCAGGTCCAGGACTACAACTGCAGTTGGTCATGTGGGAGTCCAGCGCCTTAACTATGATGCCACCTGCTGGTCCCATAGAAAGATTAAAAAAAAAAACCAAAAACTAGCTGTGGACTGGGGATTACCATGTGCCTCCTGTCCCCTCAGCCTCTTGAATGAGATGATTGCAGTTCTCCTGTCTGTCTCACTAGTATTTCCCAGTGCATGTGGAGGAGGTAGCTGGGTTTTGGTTTAACTAGTAGGGTACATGCGCTTGCCAGAGAGAGACAGAGGAGGGAAAGGGAGAAATGCTCTTCTCCCACAACTCCCAGGGAGGTGACCACACTGCAACTCCTTCTCCTCTAGTCCCTTCATGGGATTTTGGGCATGCATGCACATGCACCAGGTGTGTTTTTCGAGCTCCCAGGTCTGGGACTCTAATCATGCTGTTGGCCCTGTGGGAGGCAGCTGCCTTAACCATCATGCCCTGCTGGCCCAAAATGTTCTCTCTTTAACTCCCAGCCCTCTGCACCTGAGAACCAACACTTGAGGAACCATTCCTGGTAGCTCTTCCTCACCCAGATCTGCCTTGCATGGCAAGGGCTGGACTTTTAGCTCGAGTATGATGCTTTTGTGGGAAAGCGCTTGGAAGTTCTCGTTTCGCTTTTAGGGGAGACTCTATTTTGTAAGTGCTTGTGATCATTAGGACCCAGAAGACAGACTATGGTGGGTTGTTAGGTTGGTCTCCCCAGGGAAACACACCATATTGAATCAAGGCCTGGCCAGGTGGTGAAAATAATGCAAGCAGAGACGGATGGTGTAATTATCATCTGAGAACCTGGGATGGGGGTGGGGAAGCACTGATGTAAATTCTGGAATCCAAAGGCCAGAGCGCCTTGAGTTCTGATGTCCAAGGGCAGGCAAAGAGGGTCTCGGCTGCAGGATAGAGGGAGGAAACGCCTTTCCTCTGCCGCCAGCCTGTTGGACCATGCCCGCTCACACTGGGGGGCGGTGAGGGGTCTTCCCACTCTGACTACGGACTCACAGGCCAGAACCCCGACACATCCAGATAGAATGCTCTGCCGTTCTCTAGAATTCCTTAATCCAGTCAGGCTGACACCCCACATTAGGCATGACGTTTCCACTTGTCTAGCCAGAAGGAGCTAGCTCTTCCCTTCTGTGTGAGCGAGCGTAACTCACCTCGTCAGAACCCATGGAGCAGTGCTATGAGCCTGGGACAGGACTGAGTCCTGCAGGGCTCATCTGATCACTCTGAGATAGGCGCTTGCTGGAAGAGCACGTAACTGAAGTGAGCTATAGGGGGCGCAGGTGGTAGGGTGGTTAAGGCACCAGACTCTCCCATGGCTGACTGTGGTTAGAGTCCTGGACTTGGCAGCTTGTTTTCTCACTTTCCCTTTCTCTCTCTTTCTGTGTCTCTCTTTGGTCAAATTAAATAATAATAATAATAATAATAATAACAACAACAAATGAAATAAATATATATTTACATTTCTTTTTAAAAATAATTATTTTATTGGGAACCAGCAGTTGGCGTAATGGCTATGTCGCTGGACTCCCACGTGGTCGACCACGGTTCACATCCCGGACCCGGTGGCTTAAAACTCACGCCGGGTGCGTGTGCGTGCGTGCCCTAGATCCCAAGAGGAGAATGGAGGAGAAGGGATTGCGGCGTGACCATCCCCCCTGGGGGGTGATTTCTCGCTTTCTGTCTCTATGTCTCTCTCTGTCTGTCTGGTGAGCTCACGCGCCCTATAGTGAAAACCTCTCAAAACAAACAAACAAACAAAACTCCATAGGCTGGAAGATGGATTCTGTTTTCAGATAATCAAAATAATAATAAATTTTTTAAAAATCTGAAAAATAATGATTTTATTTAACTTTATTTTAATTTGACCAGAGTAGGACAGAATGAGAGAGAGAGAGAGAGAGAGAGAAAGTGACAAAGCAAGCTGCTAGGTCTGGGACTCAAACCACAGTCGGCCATGTGGGAGTCCAATGCCCCTAACCACCATACCACCTGCCAGCCCCAAATAAATACATATTTTTAAAATGAGGTATTGTATGGAAAGATTTTTCTCCTTGAGAAATTAAAAAGAAAAAAGAACAGGTAACAAATGTACAAGGGGACTTCAGAAAGTTTGTGAAAAATGGACTTAAAGTACTAATGTATTTTGGTGCAAACAATTTTGAAATTCATGTGTAGTTTTTTCATTAAATACATTTTCCGTAACTTTTTTAAAGGCCCTTGTACCAAATTTATATAATCAGGGAGAACAATCCATTTACCCAAGTGGCCTCTTGGTAGGGTGGGGAAGGTACTGAGAAGGCCGAAGGAGTCTGTTGTTTTGATAAGAAAGAGGGGAGGGCACGTCCTCTTCAGGGAAGGAGGGCACCCAAGAGACCTGGCTAGAGCCAGGAGCTCCAGGGAAGGGACCTAGTCTTTTTTTCTTCTTTATTCATCTATATATCAATCAATCTATAGCTATCGATCACCTATATAATCCTATTCATTTATTTCAGTTTTTTGTTATAAGGCTTGTGCACTCACCAGAGACAGACAGAGGGACAAAGAGTGAAAGTGAATGAAAGTGAGAAATCACCCACTGGGGGATAATGGCTACACCACAATCCCTTCTCCATTTTCCTCTTGGGATTTTGGGGGTGCACACACACACACACACACACCCCTGGCGTGATTTTCAAGCCACTGGGTTCAGGACTCAGACTGCAGACTTCACCATGTGGAATCCAGTCACTTTAACCTCCATGCCACCTGCTGGCTGGGACATAGTCTTTGAAACCGAGGAAGGGCAGGTGCTACAGGTTGGGGGAACATAGAAATGCCCAAAGCTTCTTCCCAGTGGGGATCTGCTCCTCCAGGGAGGGGCTGTCAACCTCGAAAGGAAAGCTGAGGCTCAGTAAGTGACACAGAAGTTGATGTGTGCCAAGGGCTGAGGACGACACCCAGGTGACACAGATTCTGTTGTCTAATGTGCACCAAAATGGCTGCTGAGGGGGCAGGTTATGAACCAAAGCAAAACAAGAAGCTGGGAGGTCACAAGTGGTCTGTCAAGAATTTCCACTGGGGGGCGCCCCGTGGCCTGGCGGTTAAGGAAGGTAGTCCCACGTGGCTGACTGCGGTTGGGATCCCAGATTCACAGGTGCCCCGAGAAACATGCTGGGCGTGTGGGTGTGCATGCCCCAAATTCTGCCAGGATGGAGAAATGGAGAAGGTCGCAGTGCCCCATGGGGGTGGGGGGTGCTGTCTCCCTCTCCCTCTCTGTCTCTGTTTGGCAAGTGCACTCGCCTTCGGTAAGTTAATAAATTAAAAAAATGTCAGAAAAGAATTGATGCTGGTCCATTGAAAAGAATGCAGGCAGTTAAGGGGCTCTACATTGTTCTGTGCGTGATGAGTTCAGAAATGCTGTGAAGAGTGGGTCACAGTGCAGACCTGTGTGTGAGGCCAGTGAGCCGTATGAGGCAACAACCAGTGTGCAGTGCCACCAAGACCTTGTGCACATGCCTCTCTTGGGCCAGAGAGGGTTCAGTGGATCTCCCGTTCCGTGGATTGCTCTGAACTGTGTTCCTTTCTCAGGGACAACCTCTTGGCTCTGGGGGAGGGGAGGGATCAGGCAGGCCCAGGGTCCCTAGAGGGGTGGGGATGGCTCTGGCGGTTAAGGAAGGTAGTCCCACGTGGCTGACTGCGGTTGGGATCCCAGATTCACAGGTGCCCCGAGAAACATGCTGGGCGTGTGGGTGTGCATGCCCCAAATTCTGCCAGGATGGAGAAATGGAGAAGGTCGCAGTGCCCCATGGGGGTGGGGGGTGCTGTCTCCCTCTCCCTCTCTGTCTCTGTTTGGCAAGTGCACTCGCCTTCGGTAAGTTAATAAATTAAAAAAATGTCAGAAAAGAATTGATGCTGGTCCATTGAAAAGAATGCAGGCAGTTAAGGGGCTCTACATTGTTCTGTGCGTGATGAGTTCAGAAATGCTGTGAAGAGTGGGTCACAGTGCAGACCTGTGTGTGAGGCCAGTGAGCCGTATGAGGCAACAACCAGTGTGCAGTGCCACCAAGACCTTGTGCACATGCCTCTCTTGGGCCAGAGAGGGTTCAGTGGATCTCCCGTTCCGTGGATTGCTCTGAACTGTGTTCCTTTCTCAGGGACAACCTCTTGGCTCTGGGGGAGGGGAGGGATCAGGCAGGCCCAGGGTCCCTAGAGGGGTGGGGATGGCTTATTTGGGGGGGGGTCTGTCCATCTCATGGGCTCCCATGAGAACATCTCTGTCTCGTTGAGTCCCCAGTCACCCAGGACTAACAGAGGAGCCCCTAGCATGGGTCTGAAAGGGTAAGGAGGCAAGGCCTACGTGGGGGTGGGGCACAGATGGCAAAAGTGGAGCTTCACACCTGCACAGCCCCAAAGGGGTGAGGCCCATCTTTTACTGTCACTGCTTTCACAGCTAGAAGTTCTGTTTCCTTTAATGCAAATATTATTTTTAAGGGGCCTCCGGCCCAGAGAACTCTTGGTCTTTCTAACAGCACTCTGTGGGAATATGCAGCTTATTTAAAGTGTTTGAAAAGAACTCACTTCTAAGCAATTTGCATTTCCAGAAAGCTTTCAATAGAGGGGCCTGAAGCATGGAGCTTGTGAATAAGGTCTTTCTGTGTTTGCCATCTGTGAAAAGGACAGGGGAAGGAGAGAAAGGAGCCATATTACACACCCCCGCCACCATCCCTAGCTGCAGGCTGAGGTGGGGAAGGGTTTGCAAAGACCCCGGGAGGGTTCTGGGCTGTGTAGGAAGAGTCCCATTTCCCCTGGAGGTTCCCAGGGAGCTGCTTTGCATGCAACGAATGTAGCCTGATTCCGGATGCCAAGGGCCTCAGTTCCAGGCAGCCTCTTCTTGCCTCAAGGATATGGCTGTGTAGGGAGGGGCAGGGTGGGCCACTGGGCCCCGGGCCCCTTGCTGGGCAGAGCCTGGCTGTCTGCTGTTTCTTTGGGGTCCAGCTCCACACTCAGATGAGCCCCTTTTCCATCCTTCTCAGCTCAGTGGGGCCTCACCTGTGTGGTTTGCTAATGCCCCTTTGGCCCCACACCTAGATCACCTTTGCTCTGAAGAGGCCGAGAGGAGTGTCTCGAGAAGCAAGGGCACTTCCACAGCCGACCCACTGAGAGTTCTCCAAAGCTTTGGCCCTGGGTAGGCGCCCCCCAGGAGCAAGCTCTAAAGGTCACAGCGAGAAAGATGGCGGTGTTTGACTAACGCCCCACCCCACCTTCCCCGTCCTCTGTACACACTAATTATTCTCCTGTGACCTGTGGTCAGCCCCTCAGGGGTGTAGCTGGAATACAAGGGTAGGAGTCTGCTCGGCACACAGAATAGCCAGCACAAAGACCCAGTGCAGGAGCGTGCTGGTGTGGGTAAGGAACAGCAAGGGGACCTCCGTGTTAGAATGGAGTGGGGCAGGCAGGGAGGATAGGAGACGCAGTTCTGAGAGATGGGGGCCTCGCGAGAACTACGGCTTCTGCTACGAGTGATATAGGAACTGCTAGGGAATTAACAATGATTGCTTATGGAATATTTCAAGAACACACAAAAGTAGTGTAGGGGGAGTGTTATAATCCACTTAGGTTAGTGTAACAAAAATACCATAAACTTGGGTAGCTTTTTGTTTTTAAAGATGATTTATTTGGTTTTATTTATCATCATTATCTTTTTTTTTTTTCCCTGACAGATTTTTGCCAGAGAGTATGTGTGCTCATTAGAGAGACAGAAAGCAAGAAATCACCCCCTCAGGGGGATGGCCACGCAGCAGTCCCGCCTCCTCCATTCTCCTCTCAGGATTTTGCGAATGTGCGCACATGCGCCTGGTGTGTCTCAAGCTGCCCAGTGTGGAACTTGAACTTCAGTCGGCCACATGGGAGTCCAGTGCCTCAAACACTGTGCCACCTACTGGACCCAATTATTATTAAAATTTGCTACAAGGCAAATGTGCTACAGAGCGCATTTAAAATTTGCAGCAGAGTGCATCTCTCTGGTGTGCTCATCAGAGACACTCCTGTGTCATCAGAGAGAGAGAAAAAGTGAGAAAGCAAGCCGCCAGGTCCAGGACTCGAATCGTAGTCAGCCATGGGAGAGTCTAGCGCCTTAATCACCATACCACCTGCTGGCTCAAACTGGGTAGTTTTTGAACAACAGGAATGTGTTTCTTACAGCTCTAGAGCCTGGGAAGCCCAAGATCAAGGTGCCAGCAAATTTGGTGTCTGGGGGTGTCTGGTAGTCCTGGGTGACTGGGGACACAACAAGACAGAGTTATTCTCAACGGATCTGGTGAGATGGGCCCCCTCTAGGGACTCTAGGCCTGCCTTGCTCTCTGGTTCTGAGATGGCATCTTCGCACTGTGTCCCTTACATGGTGGCAGGAGCCATCAAGCTCTCCGGAGTAAGGCAATATTCCCATTCATGTGACCTCACCACTTCCCAAAGTTCCCACCTTCTAATACCATCACACTGCAGATTAGGTTCAACATATGGACATCGAAGGGACATGAACATTTGGACCACAGTATGGGGGAAAAAAATCAATTTCCCCCACCACTCTGCTCGTGGCTGCTCTGCAAACTAGACCATGACAGATGAACAAGAGCAAAGCTTGTTTACACAAGCGTGGCACCTGTGGTGGGAGGTCTCAGCGCTGAGGACTGGGAAGGGCAGTTAGGATACATGGCATTCAGCAAAGGACAGCGATTACGTAGAGACACAACCAGGGAAAAGGACCCAGCCAGTTGTGGGGAGGCAAACACACCCTGATATGAGTGGGAAGTGGGAGGTAAGGGTATGCGGTTTGTGTAGACGCTTTGAGTGTCATCGCATCTCCAAGTGATAAGGTCACCACCACCCCCTCCCCCCCATAGGCGGGTTGGGAAGCGTCACTCTCACAGGGTGCTTTATGTTCTGTTTGCAGGTGGAGGACGGCAGAGCTCATCCAGCGTCTGCTTTTTCTCCATCCTTTTCATCCTAAAAGAATCTTCGTGCCAGAGTGGCCTGCTCCATGCCCCTTCAGCAGAGAAGAGGACGATGAGCCTGGCACGTACCAGTTGCCCAGATTCCACCGTCAACTCGAGGCCCGTTTGTCTCACCCAGGTCTCCACTTCCTGCCTCCTGGCACCCTGCCATTCCATCCACAGGGTCCCATAGTTATTTGTAAACAATAAGCACTTCTTTAAGCCAAACTGTAAAACCGCTTTCACACTTGAAAAGTAACACTAATTCCTCAATGTCATCAAATATCCAGTCATTTGGTCATTAGAGGGTTTTCTGCAGAAAAATAACAGGCCTTGCTTTACTTTATTTATTTTTTTAGATTTTTACTATAGGGCATAAGTGCTTGCCAGGGAGAAACAGAGACAGAGAAAGGGAGAAATCACTCCCTGGGGGGATGGCTATGCTGCAGTCTCTTCCCTCCAGCCTCCTCTTGGGATTTTGGGCACACACACACACACGCCCAGTGTGATTTTCAAGCTGCCGGGTCTGGGACTCGAACTGCACAGTTGGCCCTGTGGGATCAAGAGCCTAAGCCACCACACCATGATTTGCTTTTTTAAATGGTTGACCCAGGTGCAATGGCACACACCTGAAATTCTAGCTTCTTGGGAGGCTGAGGAGGGAAGATTGCAACATGGTAAGACTCTGTCTTATGTGCATACCCAAAACCCCGAGAGAGGAGAATGGAGAGGGGATTGTGGTGTGGCCATCCCCGCCCCCAGCCCCCCGCCAGGGTGATTTCAAGTTTTCTGCCTCTCTATCTCTTCAGCACTCACTAATTAAAATAGTCTTTCCAGGGCCAGCAGGTGGCGTGGTGGTTAAGGAGCTGGATTCCCATATGGTGGGCTATATTTCAAATCCCAGGCCCAGCAGCTTGAAATTCACGCAAGTACACGTGCATGCGTGCTCAATATCCTGAGGAGAGAATGGATGAGAAGGGATTGTGTGGCCATCTCCGCTGGGACGTGAGTTCTCACTTCCCCTCTTTGTCTCTCTCCAGCAAGTGCACCCACCCTATGGCAAAAAACCTAAATAACAACAAAAAGTCTTTCCAGTGATCACATTTATAAACCACTCGAACCTAATGGCCCAGTCCAAATCTAGGCGTACCCCAATCATTCCCAACGCCGACAGGTCTATTCATCCATGAGATTCTAGTATGTGCTGGGAAGGATTCGAGAGAGAAAAAGATCGGTCCCTGGGCCAGCCAGTGGCATGGTCATTCAGGCCCTAGATCCCACATGGCTGACTATGCAGTGTGAGTCCCAGACCCAGCAGCTTGAAAAACATGCTGGGTGCGTGTGCATGCATGTCCAAAGTCTCGAGAGGAGAATGAAGAAGGGATTGCAGCATGACCGTCCCTGAGGTGTGCGTTCTCACTCTCCCCGCTCTCTAGTGAGTGCATGTGCCTTACAGCAAACTAAAAGTAATAAAAAATAAGCAAAAATCGGTCCCTGTCCAGGACCTAACGACAGAGAGGAAGGTAAACATGCCGACAACATTGCCCACGGCTGGAATAAGGTGTGAGAACACAGCATGTGTGGTCTCCATGCTTTGGGAGTGATCCCTGCAGGCCCAGCAGTGGAGGTGCCACTCTGGGCAGAGGTCAGCAGGGGGGAAAGCCACGTGGGGGATCGGGGCTCTGTTCCCACGTTGGCCTGTACATCGCCAGGCACGTGCACGCTCCTGACCGGTGCTGGCTGGGAGGGTTGGAGGAAGATCACTGAGTGAGACCCTGTGGAGAGCCTCTCTCCCTCGAAGTAAACCTAAATGCATCCTTATTGCTCGGCCCCAATGCCGGGCCAGACTAGGAGTCTATAACTAGCCCCGGTGGCAGTGATGCAGTGGGGCAGTGGGGCAGTAGGGCGGGCACAGGTAAAAGAATTTACCAGAGACAGGGGACCAGCAGTTGGCGTAATGGCTATGTCGCTGGACTCCCATATAGTTGACCGCGGTTCGAGTCCCAGACCCGGTGGCTTAAACTCACGCCGGGCGCATGTGTGTGTGTGCCCAAGATCCCGAGAGGAGAATGGAGAGAAGGAATTGTGGCGTGACCATCCCCCCTGGGGGGTGATTTCTCGCTTTCTGTCTCTCTGTCTCTCTCTGTCTGTTTGGCAAGCGCACGTGCCCTATAGGAAACAAACAAACAAACAAACAAAAAACTCTCAAAAAGGGACCAGCAGTTAGCGTAATGGCTATGTCGCTGGACTCCCATGAAGTCCACCGTGGTTCGAGTCCCGGACCCGGTGGCTTAAACTCACGCCGGGCGCGTGTGCGTGCGTGCCCAAGATCCCGAGAGGAGAATGGAGGAGAAGGGACTGCGGCATGTCTTTCCCCCTGGGGAATGATTTCTCGCTTTCTATCTCTCTGTCTTTCTCTGTTTGGCGAGCGCACATGCCCTAAGGCAAAAACCTCTCAAAAAAAAAATCTCAAAAAACAACAAAAAAAGAATTCACCAGAGACAGAAATGTGAGCATAAGCAGAAGTCCATTAAGTTTACAGAAGGAGCGCCCTGGAGACCAGGTGAGAATGCCCAGGGGGAGGCCTGAGGTCTGCAGATTTGTGCCTCCAGAGGATTTTTTAAAAAATTTATTATTATAATTTTTAAATTTGCTGTAGGCCATGTGTGCTCACCAGAGAGAGAGGGGGAAAATGAGAAAGCAAGCTGCCAGGTCCAGGATTTGAACTGTGTTTGACCACGCGGGAATCCAGCACCTCAACCACCATGCCGTCTGCTGTCTCCCATAGGGTCTATTTTACAGTCTGTCTGGGTGGGGTAGCTGGTTCTCAGGAATGGGGAGCATCTGCCAGCCCTGCCCCAGGAGGTGCCGGCTGGACTGTGAAATTCACCTGCTGTAAAAGCTTATGGGGGGGTCTTTATCTCTGGACTTTCATACCTCAAGCAGCTTTGCTGTGTCCCTAGTGAGGCTCATCTTAGGGCCTCCTTAGTAACTCTGGCTCGCTATTTTCTTATGAACGCTTCACAGTAAACCAAAAATCACTGTCTATGGTTCAGCCCCAATACCTGGCCAGGGAAGGAGCGTGTCTATGAGCCCTAATGGCAGTGAAGATGCCCCTGGCTTTTTTGTTTGTTTGTTTTTTGAGAGGTTTTTGTGATAGGGCGCGTGCGCTCACCAGACAGACAGACAGAGAGACAGAGAGACAGAAAGCGAGAAATCACACCCCAGGGGGAATGGCCACACCGCAATCCCTTCTCCTCCATTCTCCTCTCGGGATCTTGGGCACACACGCGCAGCGTGAGCTTTAAGCCACCAGTCCGGGACTGGAACCACGGTGGACTACATGGGAGTCCAGCGACATAGCCATTACGCTAACTGCTGGTCCCGCTCCTGGCATTTTGGTGCGAAGTGTCTGTGTCGTGTGGACTGTCCTGTGCCTTGTACTCTCAGCCATCCCCACCAATGGCCCACAGTGTCCCAGGGACTATGACAACCAGCACTGCCCCACACATTCCCCTGGGGTGGAGGGCAGCACCACCTCAGGTCCCCACTACCCCAGGGGACCCACTGCAGGGGTCCTCAGCTCAGGTGGCTGTGTGTCCTGTCCCAGCACTCTGGCCTTCCTGCGGTGGTGGAGTGGATGGGGAGAGGCGAGGCCAGCATCCGACCTGGGTCAGCATCCTCCATGTTTTTCTGGGTAACAGTCACCCATGTTGGCATTCTTTTTTAAAAATAATTACTTTATTTAACTTCTTTTTTTTTCTGGAGAGGTTTTAGCTATAGGGCGCGTGTGCTTGCCCGACAGAGAGAGACAGAGAGACAGAAAGCGAGAAATCACCCCCAGGGGGGATGGCCACGCCACAATCCCTTCTCCTCTTGGGATCTTGGACACATACGCACACGCGACCGGCATGAGGTTTAGGTCCGGGATGTGAACCATGGTAGACTACGTGGGAGTCCAGCGACATAGCCATTATGCTAACTGATGGTCCCTATTTTATTTAACTTTATTTATTTATTTTAATTTGCCCAGAGAGAGACAGAGTGAAAGAGAGAGAGGAAGTAAGAAAGCAAGCCACCAGGCCCGGGATTTAAACTGTGGTTTGTCACGTGGGAGCCCAATGCACTTAACTATTCACCATGTTGGCATTTTGAAACCGTACCTTCCTTGCTCTCAGTTTACCCCCAATTCCAGTTCCAGCCTGGCCAATCAGTGCACCTGGGCAGAGCGCTGGGTTCCAGGAGGGACGAAGGGCCACTCAGGACCCTACTGCCCTCCGCTGCTGGGGACGGGCTGGCTTGCTTTCCCTGCTACACCTGACCCAGGAGGCCTGGAGGCTGTGGTCCTGCAGCTGGAGTGGAACTGGCTTTGCAAGCACAGAGAGGGGGTGGGGGGTCCCAGGGCCTGTGCCCCAGAGCCAGCCACATCCAAACCGAAACTCTCTCTTGACTTTTTTTTTGGAGAGGTTTTTGCTATAGGGCACCTGTGCTCGCCAGAAAGACAGAGAGAGACAGAGAGACAGAAAGCAAGAAATCACCCCCCAGGGGGGATGGCCACGCCACAATCCCTTCTCCTCCATGCTCCTATCAGGATCTTGAGCACACACGCACACGTGCCCTGTGTTAGTTTAAGCCACTGGGTCCGGGACTCGAACCACAGTCAACTATATGGGAGTCCAGTGACCTAGCCATTATGCTAACTGCTGGGCCTTCTCTTGACTTCTAAGAGTCAGTGTGTTCTCGTTTTGCATAGGCCCGGCTGGCTTAGGTTGCCCAGTGTTTAGACGGGTATCTCAGTACTACTCCAGGAGAAAGAGCTGGCCAGAAGCAGCAGCCACAGCCCCAGTCCCCTCTGCCACGTCTATGGCCCCGTCACCCTGACTCGTATGACAGGACTGGGACAGGACCCCACGTGGCTCCAGAAGTCAGCATTCTTGAGGAAATGGCTTCCTGGGGAAGGCTCCTGCTAGTCCATGGGAAGGAAATCCTGGGATTGGGAGCTGGTGAGTGGGTTCTGGGCCTCCCAGGGGCCTCGCAGGGGCCAGCCTGGCCCTCGCTGACTCAGCTGCCCAGCTTGCCTGTGCTGCTGTATGTGGCCCAGCTCCTCCCTGCTCCCAGGGCTGTCCCCTTGGTCCTAGCTGGCCCGTTCACACAAGTGCAGAGCTACCCGGGCACCGGCACGGCCAGTGGATCCCTTAGGTGCATTCGGGGTTACCTTGCGCCGCCCCCACTCTAACCCCTTGTTACAGCTTCGGAGCGCATGGCTGACGCCCACCCACAGCCTCTACTCTTTGCTGGGGCTTCCTCTCCGGAAGGGAATTAGCCTCCTCTGCCCAGCAGCCCTCCCCCTGCGCTGCAGGTATAGCTGCACCCCAGCTTTCCCTGCCTGGGGGCGTGTGGCACGTGTTCTGGGTCTCCCAGGGTGGCCCCAGCAGAAGCGGGCTCTGGTTGTCCTCAGAGGCCACTGCACCAAGTACCAGCTGCCCTCCCTTCCCTGGTGGACAGACCTCCTCTCCTGCTGGTGTTTGCTGGGATCACCTTAGACTAAGCCTTTGGCCTTGGCTGCTCAGGAGCTGGAGGTAAGACCCGCCAGGCACCCACGGCTAACAGGCTGTAGGTCAGTTCACAGGTGAAGCTACCAGCCTGTTCTAGAGACAGCGTGTCCCTGGGCACGGAGCCCCGCTCTGCAAGGTGCAGGCCTGGAAAGGAGCCAGCACGTTCCTCTGGCTCCCACTGACTGGATTACCACTGGGCGGAAGTGCAGTTGGATAGTTACGTTAGGTCGGATTAAGCTTTACCGTCCCTTCTCTTAGAGTGGGAAAGTGTAAAACAAACTAGGTGGTCTGTGAGTGTGTGCAAAGCTGGGGGCTCCACCCTGCGCCCGTGGGCCCGAACAGGAACGGCAGGTGCCCACTCTGGTTTACCTGTGGCTCAGAAAAAGCCACAGAGGCCCCACACTTACCTCCCTGCCCATGTGCCAAGCCCAACTTTTATGTCTCCGAGTAGAACACACTAAGGAGACAGAATTCTATTTTTTTCTTTTTCTATTCAGTGGGTGACAAGTGAGATCCTTTGATGGAAATTGGATCTGTAAGACAAATAAGGGCAGACCTATTAGCTTAGGCAATCCTCCGTGACGCAGAACTCTGTGGCTTTTCAGTTTTCAGCATCATGGGTGGGAGCTAAGATCTTTCTGCAGAAAACGAAATGATTTAAGACTCACATTTTCTTCTATCCTACACGTCCACTCTGTCGCCACTCACAGCCTCCGGAGGAGGTTCTCATTTTCCCTCAGGCTGTACGCCTTTGCAAAGTGGCTTGCATAGACTTGGCTGGTCAACGTACATTCCTTCCCTCTTACCACTCCCTTCCCCAAGGGCCTCGGAAGCTAAGATGGGGCCTCACTTTCCAACAACTGGGCCACCGAATGGAGGAGATAAATTCAACTTCCTCCTCGCTCAGCTCCTTCCCTGGCCTCCCTGGCCTCCCTCACTCCTATCTGGAGAGGCCAGCGCTTCTGGAGAGGCCAGCGCTTTGCTTCCTCCGTGAACCCTGTGCACTCTGTCCCTGCGCCTCGGCTCTGCTTCAGGGAGCCTGGGAGGAGCAGGGGAGGGTTGAAGATGGCAGTGGAAGGCTTGCTCTTGCCCTCAAGGATCTTGAATACCGCTGGCAGAAGGGCCGTTTGCACACATAGGACTTATCTGCCCAAGGATGGAAGAAATCGCGGCAGCTGGGGTGCTGGAGGAGACAGGGGGGCTGCAAAGGGTAGATGGACCTGGGCAAGGGCTTTCTGAGCAGGGAGAACCTACCAAGAAAGGCCTGAACTCTGTAGGAGCCTGCCTTTGCTCTGCCCGTCCCGCTTCCTTCCATCCAGTATCCTTGACAGGGGAGCCACCCCAGGTCAGTGGGAGCCAGGGAGGAGGTGGGCGGGGAGCTCCATTTGCAATGATCCTAATCATGGCCCTAGCATTGTTGGAGAGCAGCCAGGGCCCCAAGAGAGCCATGCCAGCCCCCCCTGAGGCCAGCAATGAGTCCCTCTGACAGGCATGTCCTGGTCCACTTGTAAAGACCACCTCCACCCAGAGAAAGGAATGGGGGCCCACATACCTGCCGGACTGTGGGCCTGGGGAAGCTCGTTCACAAGGACTCAATGACGTAGTAGGCAGCTCCCAGGGCCCCCAGAGCCACAGCCATCATCCCGAGAGCCTGGAGCACATTAGCTACAATGACTGGAGTGTTTTCTTGCAGGTTTTCTGCAAAGTAGAAAGTGGGGGTGTGGGAAGTCGGGCTGGAGTGCCCATCTACAAACAGGAGAACTTGGGCATCAGGGGCCCTGGGGATGGCAGGAGTCCCCACCTCCTCACCATTTCTCTTCCTCTCCAGGGGACACTTGTTTCCCTTACCCCTTCCAGCAAGTCCCTACCACAGATCCCTTCCATTCCCCACCCCCAATAAGACCTGAGGCCGAACTGGCCTGGGACGCCTGCCCTGGACTTTCACAGGGGAACATATGATGAAAAACTATGCATGCAGCTCAAGATTTGTTTGCACCGAAATAAACTGTACTTTAATACCATTTTCTACAAACTTTTTGAAGTGCGCTCGTATTTCATGCACTGTGAAGGGAGGAAAGACACAGTCATGCTAATAACCATGAGGGGGGCATTTGAAAGATGCAGTATCAATTTTGATAAAAATCCTCAAAGGCAGGAAGTCCTACTTGATGTGATTGTGTATTTAAAGCCAAGAGCCATCATCACACCCCCGTGAGAACTGTGAAGACTGTGGACGCAGCAGCTAAAACATGGACAGAACTACAACTACACCTCCCTGGCCAGGCGGGTGCAAGGACTTGCCCTCGCTTCCCTAATGCTGAGCCTCCTTTGTGAGGTTTTCTCCACCCGGACTGCAGGACTGCACTCTCCTATCGGGGCCAGCCAAGATCCAGGACCATCTCGCTCAGCAGCAAAGTCTGGCTTGTTTTTTGTTTTGTTTTTGTTTTTTTTTTGAGATGTTTTCACTATAGGGCGCGTGCGCTCGCCAGACAGACAGAGAGACAGAAAGCGAGAAATCACCCCCCAGGGCGGATGGTCACGCCACAATCCCTTCTCCTCCATTCTCCTCTCGGGATCTTGGGCACGCACGCACACGGGCCCGGCGTGAGTTTTAAGCCACCGGGTCCGGGATGCGAACCGCGGTCAACTACGTGGGAGTCCAGCGACATAGCCATTACGCTAACTGCTGGTTCCCAGTCTGGCTTGTTTTGAAACCTTTGAGCCTCCCCTGTGGGGCACACGGCATCTTTTGTCTCACGTGTTAGTTTTTAAAGGCATTTGTCTTAGCTCATCACAGAAACTGTCTCCATGTTAAGGGGAGAGCCCCCGTTCTGTCCCCCGTAGCACCAGCACCCCTGACCGGATTTAACAGGTGGGAGATATGTTTGGCCCCAAGCACGCTCTCCCCACACCCCCATGTCTGTATGTCTTCATGTGTAGGGGAGATGGGATTTTTTTTAGCTGTGACCAAGAGGGGACTGGGAAGAGGAACAGGATGAGGGATGGATGGGCTTCGTCCCTTGGGGTAGAGAGGTGAGCCCCCCAAGTGGAGGGGCCTCTTCTATGGCGATTTGTGAGGCCCTGATGCAAGCAGACCTGCCCTGGGACCCAGAGCTGGGGGTAGGTAGTGGTCTTCTCCAGTCAAGGGCAATAGGAATTGCCCAATAGAATTGGGGCTTGCTCTTCTGTGGAGGAGCATCTGAGTTACCACCAGTTCTTACTGAACTCTGGAGGACAATCTTATGCGGGTTGAGAACCAGGAGCCCTGCCTGTGGCATGGGCCCCGGAGTGACCAGGTGTGCACACATGCACTCGTGCCCGGCCGCCAGAGCCAGGATCTGAACAGCAGAGCTGCTGAGCTTCCGAAATGTTGAATGGCTAGGAGGCGTGCACCCTGGGGAAGAGAGGGTGCCCATGGAGAGAAGAAAGAGGATCCCCCCCCACCCCCGGAAGAAGAAGCTCCCACTAAGGAGGAAACTGGCGCCCCTCTGGGCAGGTGGGTGGGCACCTAGGAGGGCCTGTCAGAATGGGTCCTGCCCGTCCAGCTCCAGGAAGTGACAACAGAGGGTGGAGGAGGTGACACACGAGGTCTGGGAACCCTGTGCCCGAGGCCCCAGCCCCCCACGCGCCCCGGGACCTGTAGAAGGTGAGCAGGTTTGGGAGTCCTCTCCCTGGCACGGCCTGCCAGTCCCGAGGCAGAGGCAGAAGGACATCAAAGATGCGGCTGTGGCACAGCCCCAGACGGTGCCTGCAGGCAGAGCTGCCAGGGCAAGTGGCGCAGGAGCAGGGGCGTGGGCCCGCGTGAGTCAGAGGCCCTGGGTGGACAGAGAAGGAGACAGGTGAGGGGTGCACCTGCCTCCAGGAGGCTGGGGGCACCCTGGAAGACAATCTGAGAAGGCTCCCATGCAGCCACTGCACGGCCAGCAGGACGAGCCTAGACTTTCCCGAGGATGGTCACGGGTTCAGGACGGTCACGGGTTCAGGACTGACTGCCCAAGGAAGGCTGTCTCCCGCAAAACGTTCTCTTACCAACAGGAGAGAGGGGAAAACGCCTTTTTATAGACTGCTGTTATCTAGGAACGATAAAAAAAGAAAAAGTTGCGCGCTCGCAGCTGTGCGGTGTCACGACTGGCCTGTGAGTGCAGTATTGCTAGTCTCGCTTTGCAAATGTGGAAACCGAGGCCACAGGATCTAAGGGTGTGCCCTTGGAGCAGGCCAAGGATTTCCACCTTGAGGATTTGCAGGTGACAGTCATCCACCAGGGGCTGCTCTGGAGCCGCCACGTCCCTTCCATCGAGGGGTCTTGATGCCTCCTGAAGACCACTGCTGCTCTCGCTCACAGTGCTGGGCACATCCCCAGACTCATCTTCCGTTTCTGTCCTCTGCGGGTGTGGATCCCAGCAGGACTCAGAGATGGCGCCCTCTGTTGGGGAAGATTATTTCCAGCCGGGTACCTTCCTCCTTTTCCAGACTCTGCTGCTTTTCCTTTTTTTAATCCCAGAGGGCATGTGTGCGAGAGAGAGAGAGAGAGAGAGAGAGAGAGAGAGAGAGAGAGAGAGAGGGGAGACTCCCAATGAGGACAGTGCCCCTTTCCTCCACCCCTCCTTGCTGTCGAGATCTTGGGCCACAGGCACCCGTACCTGGCCACCAGGGCCAGGATCTGCACAGCAGTCGGCTGAGGGATGTGGCTCCCTCCACACAGTGCCTAACGCTGTGCTATGGGGCGGCCCAGAGCCTGCTCCTTTCAGCTTCCAGCCCCACTCTCCACCAAGCCAGAGTTCAACCCAGCAGGCTCAGCACACCTGCTTTGATTCTGGATTGGGAAGGGAGACTTACTGTTTTTTAGTTAAATTTTTTTTTTTAGGAACCAGCAGTTAATGTAATGGCTATGTTGCTGGACTCCCACGTAGTCGACTGCAGTTTGAGTCCCGGATCCGGTGGCTTAAACTCACGCCGGGCACGTGTGTGTGTGTGTGCCTAAGATCCTGAGAGGAGAATGGAGGAGAAGGGACTGCGGTGTGGCCATCCTCCCTGGGGGGTGATTTCTTGCTTTCTGTCTCTCTGTCTCTTTCTGTCTTTCTGGCGAGCACATGCGCCCTATAGCAAAAACTTCTCCAAAAAAGAAAAAGAAAAAAAAATCAATATATAATTCCCAGACCATAAATTCACCCTTTCTGAGATCCAGTGGTTTTTAGTATATTCACAGAGTTGTGTGACCATCACCAGGGCCTAATTTCAGAACATCTGGAAATGTTTCGCCTGCCCCAGATGAAACCCTCACCCCCACTCCCAGTCACTGCCCACTCCCACGGGCCAATACATGTGTCTGTCTGGACATTTCGTGCACACAGGATCATGGGTTATGTGGGGTTTGGGGGAAACTGACCTTTTCCATCTATATTTTTTTAAAAGATTTTTGCTATAGGGTGTGTGCACTTGCTGGAGAGACAGAGACAGAGAGACAGAAAGAGATAGAGAGACGGAAAGAGAGAATTCACCCTCCAGAGGGATGGCCACGCTGCAATCCCTTCTCCTCCGTTCTCCTCTTGGGATCCTGGGCAAGCAGGCACATGCTTCCAGTGTGAATTTTAAGCCGCCAGGTCCAGGACTCTAACCACAGTCGACTACGTGGGAGCCCAGTGACGTAACCATTACGCCATCTGCTGGTCCCCTAATTGAAAAAAAATGCCCCCCCTCATTCATGATAGAGTGTTGCCCACACAAGAGACAGAGAGAGGGAGAGACTCCGCAGTGTGTGGTCACCGCGTGGTCCCTTCCTCCAGCCCACTGGATCTTGGGCACTCGCATGCGTGCCCGGTGGATTTCCAGCTGACCATCCTGGGGATCTGACTGTCCTGGGGACCGTTCACCGAGGCCAAGCGGGATCTGGCTTCCCTTTGAGCAGCACATCCGGGGGCCGCAGAGCCAGCCTGACTGGCCTAGCAGTTGAGGCCCGTGCCTGCCGCTCGTGTCAGTGTACCTCCCTTTCTGCTGCCCAGTGGCCTCTGCATGGCGGTACTTCACCCCCCATTTTGCTCATCTGTTCGCCAGCTGATGGCAACTTGGGGCATTTCCACTTTCCAGTTATTATGGAAATGCCGTTAGGAATATTCATGTACAAGTTTTTGTTGAAGGATTTTTGAATTCTCTGTGGTGGGTTTGGAGACGCCGAATTGCGGGTCATATGGGAACATCGTGCTCCGAGGAACTTCCAGGCTGTTCTCCATAGCTGCTGCGCCGTTTTACACTCCCGCCAGCGATGCGCCAGGGCTCCACTTCCTCCCGTCTGACAATCGCCATCTAGTGTCACACCAGTGCTTTCTGGACTACAGTGCTTTCTGCATAGGAAAAGGCTTGGGTGCTAGAAAAGGGCTTTACTTAAAGGCTCTCATCCCAGATCTCCAACATGCCTGCACACCTGGGCTCACGGGGGGAATTCGTTCGGGAGAAGCATAGTGTCCACCACAACTGTGAGCAAGCTACCAGTGTTTCTTTTTTCTTTCAGAGAGATTTTTGCTATAGGGTGCGTGCCCTCACCAGAGAGACAGAGAGAAACAGAGAGACAGAGAGCGAGAAATCACGTCCTGGGAGATGGCTACGCCGCAATCCTCTCTCTTCTATTCTCCTCTCAGGATCTTGGGCATGCACACACATGTGCCTGGTGTGAGTTTTAAGCCCCTGGGTTCGGGACTTGAACAGTGGGAGTCCAGGGATGTAATTATTATGCCATCTGCTGGTCCCACCGGTGTTTCTTGCTTTGCCTCCTCAGTGGTCCAGATTCCTCTCTGGGGGCGAGTCGCTTGCATTCATTAAAAGATTTGGGAGTGGGATGCTTGTTTCCTGCAGAGACCAGCTCTGAAGGCTTTAATTCAGAAACGTTTGTCTCTGTGGTGGATGACCCCGATAAACACGACACACAACACAACACGAACTCTGACACGCAGGTCAGGATGGAACGAGCTTAGCCACGGGAGGAGGGTTGCCACGGGGATGCCTCAGCTTTAGCTCTCGCTCACCTCTCCTGTTTCTTGCACACCTACACGGTCCCGCGGATGAGCTGGGGTCCAGGGGTGTGGCCCGCTCAGGGCCACAGAGCCACAGGCACTGGCTCAGGGCAGATCCAGGGGCAGCTCTTGGGGACCACCAGGCCTCTGGGCATTGGAAAGCCAGTGCAGTGGTTCAGAGCGAGGGTTCTGGAGTCAGAACAGACTGAGGGCTCTCGGCGCTCCCAGTGCCAGCTCAGGGACGAGCTGTTTGATGCCGTGAGCCTCGGCTTCCCCTCTGCAACGTGGAGACGGTGACAGTACGGCCCTTACAGGCCTGTCGGTGACAAGGCTATAGAGACAGCTGAGCGGATGCTGGTGCACAGGAAATGCTTGGTGGTAAACGCCACACCCCCATGGCAGGAGCAGCAGCCACGTCCTGAAAGCCACCTGAAGACTACCTGCCAGCCAGGGCTCACCCGGACTCTACCTGGCTACCGGGAAGTGGGGAGCCACTTTTCCCTGACAGCCTTTCTATTTTCAGGCAGAGTACATGGATGGAAAGGCTTTTTGGTTGACGTTGTTTGCTATAGGACAAGTGCGCTCGCTGGAGAGAGACGGAGAGAAAGAGAAAGAGAGACAGGAAGTGAGAAAGCACCCCCCAGGGGGAATAGTCACGCTGTGGTCCCTTCTGCTTCATTCTCCTCTTGGGATTTTGGGCATGTATGCACATGTGCCTGGCATAATTTTCAAGCGGCAGGGCCACGGACTTGAACTGTGAGGTTCACCGTGTGGCATCCAGCTGCCTTAACCTCCAGGTCATCTGCCGGCCCTGGAAAAGTTCAAGTCGGGCAGAAATCTGTATCTAGCGTCTGCCATGGGTAAAGTTACCAACTCAGCAAATAAAAACACAGGGTGGCATGCAAATTTGGGACATGCATACTAGAAAATGATGTGTTATTTGTCTAAAATTAAAATTTAGCTGAGATTAAAACTTTTTTTTAACTGAGAATCCTGTGTTTCATCTGGCTACCCTAGTCAGATCCATGGGCCCTTAGTCAGATCTCTGGGGACAACAGGGGACAGGTCCGCTCCCGTGTGATAGACAGACATCCTCCAATTCCCTCAAGCAACTGTCAATTAGCTCTTGTTTCCCCAGCCCTTCTCATCCTCCATCAACCTAAAGTATCTTCTCTGAACTCGTTAGGCATCTTTTACTACCCACAAGATAGTCCAGTGAGGACAGAGTAAACAACATGAGCACCTCCCTCGGTCTAAAACACATACTTCTATTAATGCATCCTCAGGTTTTATTTTTCAACAGTCGCATACTTCTAATGAGCTAATTAAATGTTATAAGTATGTGTGGTTGTCTTAAACGAGACCCAGGATGGCGAGGAATGACAAAAGCCAGGAATCCTGGTCTCTGGGCAGAAGCAAAACCAAAACCTTCACACTCTACACAGCTCCCAAGTACTTTATCCACACATCGCTACCCTACAAGAACCAGCCTGTGGAGTGGCCCAGAGACTCCCTCAGCAGCAAG